CCATATAAACTTCAATGGTTCAATAATAGTGGTAAGACTAAGGTAACTAAATCAGCACACATTAGCTTTTTCATAGGCTCTTATCATGATACTGCTGATTTTGATGTTGTCCCTATGCAAGCTTGTTCCATTTTGTAAGGTCGCCCATGGGAATTTGATAATGATGCTTTACACCATGGTAGAACTAATACATACACTATCATACATAAGGATAAGAAAATTACATTGCTGCCTTTGTCTCCTACGGATATTATTAAACATGCTAATGAGATTAAAAATAAACCTCCAATGTGACATTGCTAAAAATAATGGGATTAAGTTAAAAGGAGGTGCTTTTCTTGCTACAACTTCTCGCTATCACTGAGTTATGTGATAATCCTGATGCACCATGTTATACTATGTTTTGTCAACCTTTTATGTCCGGTGCATTGCCTCTTTGTCACTAACCTTTTGCAGAGTTCGCGACGATGGGATGGAGTCGAGGACGACTCCAATTCTAGAAGGAGGGGATGATGAGGACATCGCCAAGATGGAGTCGAGGACGACTCCAATTCGAGAAGGGAGGATGATGAGGACATCGCCACCTGGACACACCGAAGCCATGATCTTCCCCAAGTTGCAATTGTTCCCAACTCAGTTGCCACGTCGCCTCGGATTCAGCAGAGACACGCCGTCACTGCTTCGGTCATAACTTTCTCATACCACATCGAAACGGGCCGTTCTTGGATGCATTGGAAAGGGGATGACGACGCCGTCGTTTTGGATCTGGTCCTAGCTCTAGATGGTTCGTGGATCATTCTGTGTGACCACGGCAAGGTGCTGCGTCACCTATTTGGGCTAACTTGGCCATGTATCATGTCGGGCCTTAAGCCCAAGTTGTGGGCGCCCAACCCCTGGCCGTCCCCAACCCTAGGTCAAGTCTTAGACTATAAACACAGCCGCCGCCGTCGCTGCTACACAATTGGGTTTTGTTTAGAGTTTAGTTTTCCATCGAGAAACTGAATCGTTCATTGTAACTGTGGTGACAAATCCTTTTACAGTGATCCAGGGCCCCCGTTCTTGATCTCCTCCACTGTGTCGATTAGTCCTTTGGAACCGAGTTCTTGAATCCTCTATTGATATTCGCGTCATTCATATTTGCAATTTTAGATTGCGTGTTTTACCTTCTTGCTTGTGCTCTTCGATTCGCTTGCAGGAAAAGCCTTCTTGGCGAGGTCAATCAAGTTGTGCTTGGTTGATAACCAATGGAGCAGTGGTGTAACGGTTGCAGGGTTTGAATCACGTCTGATTTGAAGCCGGATCGCCAACGTCGAGATCTCCACAAATTGAACTTACCGGCTACCTCTTGGAAGATCGGGCCTGTACTCATCAAGGGGCCATAGCGGACTTAGAGGCCTTCGCCGCCTTGTCCTCAATCGACTTCAGAATCTTCTCGGGAATCTTATGATCCCCGTACTTCACCTCCATCTCTTCAAATACCCAGTTCAACCGGGGCATAGTACCACTGATGTCATGATGGGACAGATATTCCCTCTCGGAAATCTCCCGAAGGATCTTGGAGGTGGACTGCTCCACTTCACTAATGAACTCTTCATCGGTCTTGTCTTCTGTGCGGGTAAGATAGAAACACGGATAGAACTCTCCCTCCGCGCTGCCGAAAATGGGGAGCTTCATCCTCACTAGGGTCATCCGTGGCCTATGCTTCCCCAAAGGCCAGAAATTGGATACCACCATCTCTTCGACAAGGTAACGACCCCCAGAGAAGCGGCAAGCCTTGTCGAAGGCCGCGTCACACGCCGCCCGCTCCGCATCAACCTCTGTGGGAGGCCTCACGTGAGTCGAAGGCTTCATGTCCCCCATTGTAGAAGCAAAAGGATATTTCTTGACCCTCGGCCCTGTCTTGGGAACAACCCCAGGAGTTTTCACATAGAACCAGTAGCGAGACCAGTCCTTCTCCCACTTGTTCTTCTGAGCAAAGGAAATCTCCAAACCACCATCCTTCTGAGCCCTCTTCGCCATGAAGGCACAGGAGGTAAACTGATACTCAACTTCCACACCACCAACCTTTGCCTTCTTAGGCTGACGCTGAAGCTCATAATACACACAAAATGTGTCCAAGTCTGGGAGAGCGTCGTATGTCTCGCAGGCGTAACAAAACTTACTCAAAGTAAGAACCCCGTTAGGAGTAAGATGATGGAGCTGTACCTTAAAAATCTTGAGAACCAAGTGGAGGAAATAGACCGGAGGTATGCGAAGGCCACAAGCAAAAAAAATCCTTGAAGACAACAACTTCATCAACCTTTGGCCAAGGCACAGTCTCACCGCGCGGAGGACGACCCTTTCCTGCTGGGAAGCAGCCCTCATCCTCCAAAGCCTTTATCGCCTCTTCCGTCATGAGCGAAGGCCCAAAATCCCAAGACTTAGCCATTTGAACCTTCGCCTTCTTAGCCGAGGAAATGAGGATTAGGTCTCCGACAGAAGCTTCAATATTTTCCAAGTCGTCTTGAGCCTCCGTAGATGCAGACATACACTCTTCGTACCTCCTTGACCAACCCCCAGATCTCACGCCAAGCAAGCAGGAATAAGGACCGTTAAAGCTAGGCCAGCGAAGATCAGAGCTAGTAGGCGAAGCCACTTGCGAAGGCAGCATAGAACTAAAAGGAGTAGTAGCGCAAGAAAATTCTATGGCACCAAGACAAGGCAGCAAAGCAGCACAAGTGAGACTTGGAAAGCTACAAGAGAGAAAGTGATGGCTTAGGTGGCATGGGGGGGGGGCTCCCCACCAACCCGTCCTTTATATAGGCCACGGGGGGCGCTTCGAATTCCAAACATCGACGGTCGCGACTGTTCGCGAGCGCATCGGGCACCGAGCCACCGCAGCTGAGTCAAACGACGACAGGTCACCTATCCAACGGTCCGATACGGGCGTGACCCAGGGGGGAACGGGGCAAGCCTCCGCCACTCGGTATCAGTGTCGCGATTGAGGCTCACGGCCCGCTCGCATTGGACCGCACCCTCAAGGGAGGAACTGTTGGAACACCAATACACGAGTAGTGGAGGCTAGCGCTAACATAAGCTAACATCATTGGAACATTTGTGTAAGTGTTGTGCAGGGATGCTGGCCGAGGCCTTCGCGTGGGGCCTGCGATGGAGCGAAGACCCCGACAATTTAGGAGGAGGCCGTGCACATTTTAGGAAGAAGCCCAGGAAGCCTCCGTCTGGAGCAAGAAGGCCTTCGCTGCTGGCCGTCGGTAGGAGGCCCGAGCACGGCTCTGAAGATGTCTGGAAGAGTCTAAAAGGCGAGGGTTCCGGGCGGCTCGGGCGGAGGTTGTGCCATCTTCGCTCGAAAGAAAGGGGTCCTCGTAGCACCGCGCCCAAGATCAGAGATGACCCCCCATGGGCCTGCGGTTAAGGCCCAAGAAGCAAAGACGGTGCAGGAGGAAAAGACTCGGATGCCCCTAACAGTTTATACTAGTGTAAGAGTATTCTAGGAATGTACCAAATTTGTCGAGGGCCAAAATTGTACCATGAAGCAATAGCAAACAGTGCCCTATAAAAGGAGGAGCCGGATGCTATGTAAGGGGGGCTTGGTGAACTCATTTATGAAACCCTAGTTGTGCTGGGGTCCACCTTTCGCGACCTGTTCGCCGAACCTCCGCCTGGGGCACCGACCAGGCGGAGGATCCCTACCTATACTTGTTGGAAACCTCGTTTTCCAACACCCAACATGGTCTGGTTGCGCCACTCCACTACATCGTTCTATCGCGGGGTGTATGGTGCGGTGAGGTGGCACTCCTGTGCTCGGCGTAGTAATCTTCTAACGTGCGCACTGTGAACTCGCTACCACCCTCGGTACAAGCTTGTAGGTGGATGATCATAGTTGCCACTTGATCCTTAGAGCTCAGCAACACCAGACACATGTACCGGCTCTTATCATCAACGATGAGCGAGAACAACTACTTCCCTCCCAGCGTCTCCGGTGTGCATGAGCTGGAGCAGGCGTGAGGCACGGTATGAGCTCGCCACCGGGAACAGATGAGGATGCTGCTTCCTGACCAGGCAATTGTTGCTGATATGTTTGACATGGTCTATCCACGACAGCCCTCGAGCACCTTCAGCCCATGGAGCTCGAGGTGCCCGAACCTGGCATGCCATTGCCAGGCCACCTCACAGAAAAGAACTGGAGGTATTAGTAGCATTGGAATCATATAGTAAAGATTTTAGTAATAGTGTTTGAGACAAACAAATTGACAATTCCTTTGCTTATGCGCCTATTTTTGAAATTAAATTGTTTTAGTTTTATCCTAAATCAAAATTGTCCAAACTTTGATAAGTTCATAAAAAATATATAAACATATACAATATCAAGTAAATGCACTATCGAATAAATTTCATGTTTTATCTAATCAATCTTGTTTTATGTTGTAGATAAGTTAGCGTTGTTTGACACAGGAGCCAGTAAGGACAGATCTAAAATTACTTATAATTTGGAACAAAGGAAGTATAAGCCAGGCCATCCCAATGCAATTCTGATTGACAACATATCTAAAGTAGATGCAAATGCGCAGTCGGACAACAGCATAGCAGCCAAATGAGCTGAGACCATTCATGTGATAAACGAGGCCATGACAGCTTGGCATTTCAGCATAAACTTTCATGTTCAGCGGGAAACAAAACAGTACTACTGCTTCTACCCAACTTACTAAAATATTGTCGGAGAAAAATGATTACAAGCGCTGTGTTTTCCTTGGTGAAATAATGATGTAAACGATTGACAAGCCGACTGGAGATTGGAGAAATGTAAGGCAGTGGAGAAAGATTCATGCATGCCGCCAGCCAAGTCCAGACTGGATGACACAATAAAATTCAGTGTAGATGCTATGTGTAGGATCCACTGCAGCACCGTCTGGAAAATATGTACCTGGGCTTCAAAATTTTGGAAGCTCCTAATAGTGACCTATCTAAAGTGATTTCTACTACTGCTGGTGCTCTTTTTAGTACTAAATTTGTCTAACTAGCTGCTGTATATGTACTTTATCGTGCACTGGAGGACGGGCAGATGGCTTAGGACTTGAAGAGTGAGCAGAGTATAATCGTCTTGAACTCTTAAGATGATCAATCCCTTGTCTTCTAAGAGCATTTGGATTGACACCTGCCTTGTGAGCAGCAATGACTCCAATTGCTTCCCAGTAGTTCCGGACATTCAGCTGAGAAAACATTCAAAGTTACCAACAATTGCCAGAAAGAGTAAGAGAATGCAAAAGAAGATTATAGACGTATGTTGTGTACCGCTTCTATGCCGAACTTGTCTGGAGTATCATCAAGCACTGTCTCATTTTCCTGTACAGTAATGATTAAGGGCTGCAAAAAAGAAGAAGAAGAAATGAGTAATTTAGCTGACCTAGTTAATTATGACTAACACTTTTTGCAATTAGCTCCAATCATGATGCTAACATAACTTGCATTGATGAACTTATCTAACACACTGTGTGTGTGTGGTCAAAGTGGATACATACTTCCATCTTACATCACGAATTAATATGGACATTATACCTTGTCCTTTCTTGCAGCCCGAGCAAAAGCAAGTGTACCATCTCCTCCACAAGAGTCTTTGGGAAGAATAACACTGTCAACATCACCAGCCACTATGCAACCATTGTCCAAGCTTCCTTTCCTCATGACATACTGTGGAGCATTGCTTAACCCAGCAAGCACACAAGGCAGAAATGTATATCCAATCTATTTGATAAAGACATATTATGAATAAACAAACAACATACAGAAGTAATAAGAAATCAGGTTAAAAAGAAAAGAAAAAAGTATTGAGCTTGACATAGGACAGGATTTATATCTATATATATATATCATCAAAGAGGCAAAAAGGCGGCTGAAAACGTTGTAACTAAAAACTGAACACATAGCACTAGTCTAATATAAGCCTTGCAATGGTAGTGTGATTGTGAAACATATCACTAGTAAATTGATAATTACTTAACTAAGTTATGCACGAGTACACATGGACATATACCTCTTCAGCAGCAGATCTAGGGCATACTAATGGGCTGAGTGGTGGGGGTAACACTGCAGGAGCATGTGCAGAAGGGATTTTGAATTCTTTCACAATTAGATGACTGATAATTGCTTCAACTCCTGCCAATAGATCAACACCCTGCAATGAAATATCAATCAAGAACATAAACGATGAAAAATAAAAAAACATTCACTACCTAGGAAATGAAGAAAATGAAAGATACGCTTGCCAACAAATGATAACCTCAGCGCACTGTTAATTGGCATCAACTCAATAGAACTCAGACCCGTCAATATACAGATCCAGTGCCATAAAGGGGCAATGACCTCCATATTCTAGGGGAATGATGGCACTAGCTCTCTATTCACTAAACTTTAGACCAGAATCCGTGTAACTATCAGACTTCTATAATTGAATGTCTTGAAACTTGAGAAGACACATTTTCGACTCAATTCTCAATAAAAATGCTTTGATGCAAATGTCAATGGCACAAGACATCACACAAATAAAAATAAAACAAACTACTTGAGCAGACAAGAGTTTACTTTTCCTTCCCGGTAACAATCTGAATCTTCTGGGTCATCATCTGGAAAGCGTGCAACAACTGCCACAGCATTCACGTCTGAATGTGTCACTAGTGCGTCCACTGCTCTCAGAAGAGAATCAGAGTTACCAACACTCCCCGTCGACTTCCCACACCTGGGATCAAACCATGTCTTGATCTACACCAAAAATGGGTATGCCCAAAGTAAACATCAATATTATGCAAGCAGTTTATTATACTTACAATTACAACTACCAGTACTAGTATCAGAACAGAGTGTGCACCTCCAGAGGAGCATCTGTGACAATGTACTCCACTACAGGCAAGCCAAGAGAAGCCCTCGTGGCATCTGCAACCTGCAAGTGGCGCAGCCGGAGGTCTTCCTCGATTCCAGAATCCAACACCAAGCCTACCTAGGTGTGATCAGTTACAATGTGTCATTGGCTATCTCTTTCGGTAACAATAGTGCATAGCAGCACTATAGCCAATCTGGATGTTGGTGGGAGCAAGCCCCACATCGCGAGTCAATGCAACACTAACCTTGTTCTGGTGAACAGGTTGGAGTGCCCAGGATCCTTCTGCGAACCTGTCAAGGGCGTAACCTTCGACGTAAAGTGTATTGGGCATCGGCCAGTACAGCATCGCAGCGTTCAGCACCTGCAACGTGAAATTTCCATCTCTAAGTGAGCAACCAAATTCAAACGAAGAAACAGCAACAGAAGTACAGCAGCATAATGTTTATGACGGGCTCCATGACGTTACGTTTGGGTGGGATATGACACAGTCGGCGACGCCGGTGAGGGCTCGCGCAACCGGAAGGGCGTCGCCGGCAAAGCCCCCGACGGCCGCGCCGACGCCCGTGGGGACAATTAGAACGGACGTGTAGGGTCTCCTGAAGCACGCGGCCCGCGCATCGGCGGACGGAAAGAAAGAGCGGGCCCGGGTGCGCCTGCGCGGCGCCGACGCCTGCGACGGCGTAAAGCGCGAGGTGAGGAACGGAGCAGAGAGACGGAGCGCCATTGCTTTGCCGGAGCAAGGCAAAGCGAATGACAGCTGCGGGAACGAAAGCGGATAAGGCTACGCGCAGCTCCACAGGATCAGGGCTAGGCCCACATGAGCCGGCCCAACACAGTCCATATTTTTTCTTGAGTGGGCTGGGCTGTCAGTTCTCATTCCTGGTCCAACCTGTCAGGCTCTCGGATTTACCCGAACCCCACCGGCACCTTAGCCACTGGGCAGACGAGGAGAAGCTTCGCGGACGCCATGACCTCGCCGTCGCCGCTGTGCGCCGCCTCCTGCTCCACCGCTCTCCGCGCGCCGCCGCCTCTCCTTCGCTTCCTCCGCTCTTCCGCTCCGGTATCCGCCTCCGTGGCGCGCACGGCGCCCGCCGTCTCCGACGACCTCGTCCTCCGCATCGCCGAGCAGCTCGAGGACTCGGTGACCTCCACCTCCCCGCTCCTCGACCCCCTCCGCTCCGCCTCCGCGCTTTCCCTCCTCTCCACGCCCTGGCCGACTCGCCGCTCCAGCGAGGCCTTCCGCTTCACTGACATCTCCTACCTCCGCTCCCTCCCCATCTCCCTCCCCTCCCGGGAGCCCGACCTCGCGCTGCCGTCCTCCCCTTTCTCTTCCCACGTCCTCTTCTCGGATGGGATCCTCCTATCCTCCTCTGGTGCCCATGTCAGCACCCTCGCCGATCTTCCCCCTGGCCGCGCCAGGGACCGCGCCGCCGCCGCGCTCGCCGCCTCCGCTGAATTCGCCCACAAGGACCTCTTCTACGACTTCAACGCCGTTGGGGCGAGGGACGTCGTTGTCGTGCACGTGCCTGAGGGGGTCAAGGTGGCTGACGACCCAATCCACATCATGTTCGCCTATACCAATAGCGGTGTTGAGAGTATGCTGATGTCCAATCCAAGGGTTCTGGTCGTGGCCGAGAAGGCAGCAGAGGTGGCCATAGTGGAGGAGCACTTTGGGGCTGGAGAAGAAGGTGGTTGCTATTGGGCCAATCCAGTGGCAGAGATTATCATCGACGAGGGCGCAAGAGTGGTTCATTCATACGTGCAACATCAATCATTTGCTGCAGCACATACTAAATGGACGGTCGTCAAGCAGGTGAGTCTGGATTTTAGATAAATAAATGTTGTAAGATACTTGTGATTGCAGTTATGAATGAGTGTTATATGCTCTTGAAATGGGATAGGATAGTGATGACAAGAGAAGCAACTCTGATCAAATTATGGAAGGGATTGTTGGAGTTACTCAGATTGATTCTGAGCTGGGGACATTTGTCATTCCAGGGTCTCATTGTTTGATCTACCTCATGACTCAAGACAGTTGCCTTCAATTTTCTAGTGATAATAGTCATTGTCGGTGTTAGCATTGATCAATGAAGCTTAGTTGAACAGGGAAAATCAGTTTTATTTGTTCTGAAACTTCTTTTTTCTTTTTGCAGGATACAACTAGTAAATATGAGTTTGTTGAGGTCAGCACTGGAGCAAAATTGAACAGGCACAATCTCCATATCGAGCAATTAGGTCCTGAGACAGAGACAGAACTGTCAACACTTCACTTAACATCTCAGAATAAGCAGATACATGATCTGCACAGCAGACTGATACTTGATCACCCTAGAGGTTTTTCACGACAGCTCCACAAATGCATTGCTTGTGGCACAGGAAATAGCATATTTGATGGCAATATTAAAGTCAACAGGTATATTTATCAGCTTTTTTTTTCTTTTTGTTGTTTTGTTCTTCCTGGAGAAATGTTATCTATTCCGGTCATTTACCTGACCAGCATTGCATAGATTTCTAGTTTCATGCCTGTGCCATACACTTTTTTATTGCTCAATATTTCACAGTAGGTGAATATATGGCATCCTGATATTACATATTTGTTCAGAATAGATTTAAGTTTTAACTGAAATCTGGAATATAATATATAGTTGCATAACACGTATGATGTGTTCGTGGCATAAAAATATTTCTAGTTTGATGCCTTTGCCAGAAACCTTTTTATTGCTCGCATTTCACAGTAACTGAATATATCGCATCCTAAGATTAAATATTTGTTTTGGATAGATTTAAGTTAACTTGAAGTCTATAATATAGTATGAGTGTTGTATAAGGTGTTTGGTGTGTTTCATGACAAGTTAGCAGAAAGCCACACAAACATTATTTATTACCTTGTACAAAGCTGTTTTATCATCCTTCTGTACTTACAACCTATTGACTGTTGAATTTTGTTTCAACTATAGTTATATTGTTATGCAGTTCTGTGTATTACTGATTCGCCAGGGAGGCGCCATACCTGTATCTGTACGGCGATATGGCGTGATACACATATCACCAAGTATCAGAAAAACTAGACAAAATCGTTTGGTTTAGCTCGCGATACGGCGAGATACGCTGTGCCCATACGTGCCAGCCAAATAGTACCTCATTTTACAGCCACAAGCCCAACAGCATGAGCCCATCCATTCTCAAGCCTCACCCCAGAACACCGGGTGTCTCATCTTCACCTCCCATCTCTTGCTTCTCGGCGCCGCCTCGGATAGGGAGCGAGGGTTGCCACCTTGCACGGTGCATTTGCTGCTAGGATGTAGTGCCGCCGCCTCACTAGGAGCGCATGCTGTCAGAAGCTAGCACCGCCACCTTGCTGGGAGCCATGTCGCCACTGGGTGTGCTCGTGTCCCCGTGAGTGAGTACCACCAATTTGGATCTGAAGCTCTGGGACTTGGGAGATTGTCTTGAGCAGCTGCTGAAGGTTCAGAGATAGGTGCACTCTAGCTATGGTGACCAGTCAGTTCCTGCCTGCTTGTTCATTTAGATCCTCTCTTTCCTTCGTACGTCTTGTTGAAATTGATTCATTCATTTAGATTCTCTCTCTGAGGGCATGTAAATGCAATTATTTTAATTGGACGTATCGGCTTATCCTTGTTTTTCGGACAAACGCTGTATTGCCGTACCCGTACCCGTACCTGTATCGTGTATCGGTGATACATAGATGCAGTTATATAATTCCTAGGACGTCCACCATCTTTGTTTTACTCATGAGTCATAACACACCTATGTCTGAAGCTGCAATCCTAGATTTGCATCCTAATATTGTGATGGTCTTGATTCACAGGTATGCACAACAAACTGATGCGGGGCAAGAAACCAAGTGTCTTATCCTATCACCAAAGGCGCTTGTTAATGTCAAACCGAACCTTCAGATTATTGCTGATGATGTGAAGTGTACTCATGGTGCCGCCATCAGTGGTGAGCTCGATCCAAATGAGCTCTTCTACTTCCAGGCAAGAGGTATCAACACGAAAACTGCAACAGATGCCCTGTTATACTTCTTTGGAGCCCATGTGATAAAGCGCATACCGTTTAAGCCCATAAGTGAGAAGGCATTAGCACAGTTCAAAGAGTTGCTTGCTTCATCCAGATAAACAGCGGGCTAGGCCCTTCATTTGTAATATCGTTTCAGTTAGTTTGACACATTTTGGTGAGATGAGAAAAATAGCAAAGGTTAGAAGTATTTCTGCCAAACAAGGGGAGGCTCTATAACCACATTTTGAAATGCTGTAAGCAATACTACTCTAGCTTGCAAATGCAGTTTGTTTGCAAACGGCTTGTTCGTCTCTAGCAAGGGAAGATGCTGTTTATATCAGAGTAGATTATTGTTATTGCGCATGTTACATTATAATTGAGTCGAATCTGTACTTGAAAAAAAATTTGTAAAGAAATACCACAAATTGATGCAGCTCATTGGAACAAATAAAGCTTTTTTTTCTCTAGAGGAGATTTTGTTAGCAAAGACGTAGGTATATTTTTTTCCCAAGTTTCCAGTTGTTCTGTCTTATTAACTTTTCTGTAATATTTTTTCCTGGGTAGAACATGACGTTTGTGTGTGCGCCGACTGTTCGACTAGCCGGCAGAATAGTAGATGTAGCTAGATATTGCTGTACACTGACGTAGAGCCATGAATACCCAACAGAGTTGCTTTCGTAGGTCAGTTGCTTAGAGCACCCCCCGTTTAGTAAGCGGGAGGTCTTGAGTTCGACTCTCAACGAAAGCATTTTTTATTCTGTAGCTAATTATTTTCCCTTTTTGCAAATTCATTCTGTACCTACTTTTTCAATTTTTCCGTTTTTGCAAATTCATTCTGTAGCTACTTTTTCAATTTTTCCCTTTTTGCAAATTCATTCTGTAGCTACTTTTTAAATCTCCACACTCACTGAACCAATAAATATAGCTATTTTTTCAATTTTTTCCCCTTTTTACAAATTCATTCTGTAGCTACTTTCTAAATCTCCACACTCACTGAACCAATATTTTATTGATTTTTGATATGTAGCCAGCCTTTTAAAATGTCTCTTCACTCATTGAACTAATATTTTATTGATTTTTGATCTGTAGCTAGCCTTTTAAAATGTCATGTGTTCACCCTCTTTCTTTTTTCAAATTTCTAGCTATTTTTTCTCTTTTCGCAAATTCATTCCTTTTTGCAAATTTATTCTGTAGCCAAACTTTTTAAATCTCTTCACTCATTCAACCAATATTTTAATGATTTTTTATCCATAGCCGGCCTTTTTAAATGTCACACTCTCGCCTTTTTTTTTTTTGCAAAATTGTAGCTATTGGCCCCATTCACTTCGCTGAAAAAATAAGCCGAAACACTATTCCGGTTGATTTGTTGTGAGAGAGAAAACTCTGTTCCGGTTGAAAAAACAAGCTGAAAAAGACGAATCATAAGATAAAAGAAGTGAACATGCCTTTTTCGAAAGGTCTGAGTTATTAGCCTCCATTTATAAGAGAAGAGCATAAATTACAAAACCTATAAGCGGCGCAAGCTACGTCAGCCCATTTTTTTTGTGAGTTCAACTTTATGAGTCCCATGCCACCCTAGTTTTACAGGAAAGCTATTACAAGAAAACAAATAACAAAAGGCCTTGTTTGACTTGCTGAAACTTGACTAAATTGGTTTAAAAATACTATTCTGAATTGTTGTGAGAAAAAAACACTATTCTAGCT